ACATATAGGGACCAATTGGAATTTTCATAGAGACAATGAGGTATTAAGGTGAATGTAGTAAGAAAGGTAAGTAAGAATGCGTTGTTTTGGTGCAAGGAATGTTGTGGCATATTTGGGTCAGTGTTTGTGGCCAGCAAAGTTTAACCTCAAGACAGATGAAGACCGTTATTTTCCCCATTCCCAATTCTGGCCTTGTGCCACATTTTGTATCATTATACAAATAATTATCGGAGAGTTTCCAGCAGTTAACGCTGACAGTCGGACTGAACATTCTTGCTGCAACACTCGTTTGTATATGTTTTGTATTACTGTTTCTGTTGATATATTTCTTGTTTAACTCTCTTTGTGCATTTATTTCTGGCCCAAACAAGACCACAACAACAACACATATATATATATATATATATATATATATATATATATATATATATATATATATATATATATATTACCAATTTGTGACTGATAGGGATAATGACAAGGAGAGTGTTCATCCAGAGATAGTTCAATGTAAACTACAGAGCATTATAATAATAATAAATTTCTCCCACCCCACGCTCTCTCTCTCTCTCTCTCTCTATCTATCTATCTATCTATCTATCTATCTATATATATATATATATATATATATAGATAGAGAGAGAGAGAGATGTATACTTAGGCAACATATCTTAATTCAGGCATGTTTCATTGATTGTGTGTGTGTGTGTGTGTGTGTGTGTGTGTGTGTGTGTGTGTGTGTGTGTGTGTGTGTGTGTGTGTTATAGTATGCTATATTTGCAAGAAAACCGTCCTGGCAAGACCCTGTATTTCATGTTTAAACACAGTGCTTCAGATGGCTTAATCTTGGTTTCAAAAATGAAACGTATTGTCACCATTCATTGTTGAACTCTGTGTCTACACTGCTTATGGAAATATAAAACTAAACACTAAGTGCAGCACCAGTCGGCGACAGTTTGTTTAATGCTTCAACGCAATCTTCAGGCCATGTGTTGTCTTTTGGCTCGTCTATTTACATATGGTGGTCAGTGGTACATTATGCGTAGTAAACCTATTGTATTATGCCAACGGATATCGGGAGGGCGGTAATTTGTTTATTTTTCAAATTACTCTACTGGCTAGTCTGTTGAAAAAATTGTGGCTACAAATGCGGTTATTTAGTAAAATTTTAATCAGTCTTTATTATTGTTTAATTAACTACTTTTTGTTGATTAGTATAATTACAATTACTTGTATTTATGTTTTCATTTGTTATTGACGAATTTGTTTATTATTTACTTAATTTATTTAGACTTTTTGTAAGTTTTCTTTTCTTTTTTTTTGCCTTAGATATGCTCTGCCTCTGGTATTGTGTACCCATAAATATGGCACATCTTATAAATATATATATATATATATATATATATATATATATATATATATATATATATATATATATATATGTGTGTGTGTGTGCCTGTAAAAGTGAAAATAGATGTCAACACTCAGAAGCGACAGGCTGTTTCAAGCCTGACGATTGCGTCTAGCATCAAACAGCCTGTCTCCTCTGAGTGTTGACTTCTATGTTCATTTTCATATTTATATTTACATAAGCTATATCTCTGATATTGAGCATTTATCCCATAAATATGCCACACCTTTAAACTATATGTCAGTGTGTATTGAAAAAGCACAATTGCCTCTGAGCGGGCGCAATAAGGATTGGATTGCCACCCTAGTAGACGGGTATCCCCGAATACGAGTGGCCACATATTATATATATTGTGAGCGTGAAACTTGAATTACGACTAGAGCCATCCATTCGTAGGATTTACCGTTGGTATCTGCCTATATTTCTGAGATGAGGTATTATGTCCACTAATTACATTATTCGGACTATTGTCCTCATCTTTGTCAGTGGATAAAGGCGTTGGTTATATCCAGTCACAGGACCCAAAGTGTGTGAATTCAATACCCGGTTGATGCAGCGGAGAATTTGGCGAGGGGAATTAACAGAATGTAACTGATAACTGACATCCATTAAACATGGCAGGTGGAACTAGAGCAGTCTACTCCAGTGAGCGAAATAAAGGGTCCAGTCCGACATTCCAACGACCTGAAGAAGGCCGGGGCGTACAACGGCCGAAACGTTGTAATAAATGTGGCGACAAAGATGAGGACAATAGTCCGAATAATGTAAATAGTGATTTACCGTTGATAAGCGTTTTTGGCCCGGCAATTAGGCTTATCTTATTGAGTAGTTAAATTTGCTTTCAGGCCATTTTTTCTCTTTTTTTTCAGTATTCCAGTCTATATATGTGGCTAATAGGTTTAGGCCAAGACAATTTGTCCGTTTGTTCCACTAACGGTTTTTTCTTATATATATATATATATATATATATATATATATATATATATATATATATATATATTGATACACAAAGGAATTTTCTCCTCTTGGTTGAGATGAATTCACGAGGGCCACATGAGGGTCACTTTGTGACGTCACTTTATAGAGTGACGAAAGTTTCTAGGAGTCAAACCGAGCAGTTACACGCCTGTGTCCCTGCCCGGGTCTCTTCCCGAGGCAAGCAACTGCCGTTTATGCCATAGCTAATGACATAGCAGAGAAATCCGTCTTGGTTTAATCTGGAGTTTTGAATATGGCTTTTCCAGGAACACAGATGCATCTCCAGCATTTCTAGTTCCCGTCGAGAAGGATTATCCGTAAGACTCTTTTCACACTGTTTGTTGCGTAGACATGTGTTGTAGTTTCCCTGCGTTTCGATACAAGTAAATATATATATATATATATATATATATATATATATGTATATTATATATATATATCACTTAACGGCATAAAACACTCTCTGGGAACAAAGCATGTATGTCATTCCTTTTCCTTTCAACCATTCCGTCCGAGAAACGAGATGTTATTATATCATTGATACAATAATGGAGGAAAAGCAAATGTGAGAATAAACCTTTCTTCCATAACCCATTCATCATATATATATATATATATATATATATATATTATTATTATTATTATTATTATTATTATTATTATCACAGGTTTATTAATATATGCATGTGCACACGCATCCGTTTTTGATATTCTTTTGACAGGAAACATGTTACGCGATTGCGTCAGCGCTGATACGTTTCCGGTAGATGCCTTTACAAATACGTTGAGTTATTCATCTTTAAGTGGTTTAACCCCCTCTTCCGAGAAACCAATAAACATGATGATAAATAAGATGAAAGATGACTAAATAAAAATAAAATAGGCATGCAGCAAAAATAGAAAAATAAATAATAATAATGGTAATCATTTTTTACCCCTCAGGTCTACCGTAGACAGTTAGAAGTGACTGTGTTGAGTCTGGGACTTTGCTGATAACGATTAAGAATAATCATCTGCGTCTATGTCTAACACATATTTTAACGTTTCCGTTTTATTTTTTGTCATCTTACCCTGTTAATTACTCGCTAATTTCCTTCTTGTAAAATCTTTCTATTTCTTTTTATAAGCATGGTTTCACTGTCTATCTTTCCCGTTACACAAAACATTTATTTCCACACGCCTCCTTTGGCCATATTCTTTTACAACGATTTTTTGCTATTTGTTTTTACTATTTAAAAAGGTATTTTCAGTAATTTTTCGCTTTTATTCAGTCCGCTTCTTTCCTTTGTTCGTCTTTTTCTTTTCTTTATTTTATTCCATTTCCCTAACCGCTTTTCAAAACTCTTCGAGTTACTTCCCTTGAATCTCATATACGTATGTTCATTTGATTTCTTTCTTTCCTTTTTTTTTTCTCTTTATTCTTTGAATATTTGTTTGCCGTGGTTTATTTGCATTTTGTCATCTTTACCCTTTTCTTTCTCTCTCCTTCATCTTTCCCGATTATGTCTCTTGTCAATGAATAACTTTTCATTCAGTTTTTCTTCTTCTTTGTCATTTTCACTTTATCTTCAACTTCTATAATCTCATCATTTTTCGATCATATTTTTCGTTTATGTTTTTTTTTATCTTTATATTTCTATTTTTTATCCTTTTTTCTTTTTCTTCGTTCCTTTTTTTCTTTATTCTCTCATGCCTTCTATATTTTAATTAAACTTTATTCGATGTTTTCTTTGTCGTTCTTTCTTTCTTTTCTCATTCCTTCTATAATTTGATTTAATTTTAGTTTTTTTCTTTCTTCTTTCTTTTGTTCTTTCTTTCAGTTTTTCTTTTAACTTTGGTCGTTTCTTTCTTGTTTACTTGTTTTTTTTTTTCTTTTCTTTTAATTTTCCTTCGATCTTGTTCTCTTCTTTCATTCATTCTTTCTTTCTTTCTTTCTAATCCTTTTCTTAAATTTCTTTTCTTTTATTACACTAATTAAATCATTTCTTCCATGTTTCTCACATCCTTTTCCATTCTATTTCAATCTGCTTTCTTTCTTCGTTATCCCCTTTCTTTCTTTCTTTCTTTCTTTCTTTCTTTCTTTCTTTAGTGGCCATCCACCTATTCACTTAGTTTTTCTTTCTTTTACTTTATTATTTTAATATTAATTTATTCTATCTTTTTCACTTCTCATTTCGTCTTTCTGTATTTCTTGCTCATTCAATCATTCCGTTTCTTTTCTTATATTAATGCCAATTCATTTATTACTTTCATTTCGTTTCAGTGTCAATTGTTTCTTTGTCTCTTTCTCTCCTTCTTCTAAAATGTGTTCTTTCTTTCTTTCTTTCTTTCTTTCTTTCTTTCTTTCTTTCTTTCTTTCAAAACATTGTCAATCTTCCCTTAATGTTATATTTCCTCGTTTTCACACTTGCTTCTTTTCCTTTGTTTCTGTCTCCCTTTCTTTCTTTCTTTCTTTCTTTCTTTCTTTCTTTCTTTCTTTCTTTCTTTCTTTAAAAACATTGTCAATCTTCCCTTAATGATATATTTCCTCGTCTTTACACCTGCTTCTTTTGTTTCTATTTCCCTTTCTTTCTTTCTTTCTTTCTTTTAAAACATTGTCAATCTTCCCTTAATGATATATTTCCTCGTCTTCACATCTGCTTCTTTTCCTTTGTTTCTGTCTCCCTTTCTTTCTTTCTTTCTTTCTTTCTTTCTTTCTTTCTTTCTTTCTTTAATAGTTATTCATTCACTTACTTTTTCTTCCTTTTTATTTCTTCTTTTAAATACAAATTTTCCCTATCTTTTTTCATTTCTCATTTCTTTATAGCTTGATCATTCACTCACTCATTCATTCATTCTTTCATTCTTTCATTCATTCATTCATTCATTCATTCGTTTCTTCGTTCACCCAGTTATTCAATCATTCCATTTCTTTTCTTCTATTAATGTCCTCTCATTCATTACTTTCATTTCATTTCGTTTTGTTTTGTTCATTTTTTTCTTTCCCTCTTTTTCCCCTTCTGCTTTCATTCCTTCTTTCTTTTTTCATATCTTTCTTTCTTGCAAGCCGTTTTCAGTTATCTCTTAATAATACAACCCCTCTTCTTTCGTTCCGGCTTCTTTGTTTTTTATTACCCGATTTATCCCCCTCCTCTTCACCATTTTTTTCTTTATTATTCCTTTTCTCGCATTTCTAACTTTACCTCCTTCTCTTTTCCTCTCTCTCTCTCTCTTTCTCTTTCACTCTTTATATCTACACGACCATTTTACTCATTTTACTTCCCTCTCAATTCCTTTCTTCTCTTCCGTCTCCAACAATTTTAATTTTGTTGCCACGCCGCTTAGTAATGCAACTGGGGTAAGACAGATAACCGCCAGTGGGAGGATGTTGATAAATGCTTAGTTATGGCCTCGCCAGCTACCTTTGACCGCTAGAGTCATGATTTAGCTAGCAAGTGATTCGTGGTGAAAGCGATTTGTCAAAGCCTCTGACAGGGCCGTCCCCCCATTCATGCCACATATGCGTATATTGGAACGAGACGTTCTTGGCAAATTCACAATCTCACCACTTCAAAACTGTCAGTTCATTAAAGCCTTTATGCTTACAGAAAGAGAAAGAAAAGCCAATAACCCAATGATGGTAACTTTATCAGACAAACCCCAACCTCTTTTCTTCAATTCCTTCTCGCCTCTCAAACTGTTGTTTTTTGTTTCCTTTTATTTTTTTTATTTTTTTATCGACGCTTCTACCCAGTTTTGTTATCGCTTCTTCATTTTCCTCGTTCAGTTTTTTATCCGTTCATTTCTGTGTTTTCTTTTTCTTTTTTTCTTTTTTTTTCCTTTCCAGAAGGGAGCGTCTAGTTATTGTTCGCTCCAAACGTAACGCTTATTACAAGTTATCATTCATTTTGACTTTCTCTTTACTACTACTACTTCCTCTCTCTCTCTCTCTCTCTTTGTCTCTCTCTCTCTCTCTCACACTTTTATCGTTTTCGCTCATTTTCCGTTTGTATTTTCTCTTTCTTTTTCCTTCGTTCGTTTTTCTAAATACTTTCTTCTTTTTTTCTACCTCTCACGAATCTCTTCTTTCTTTTTTCTTTCTTTCTACATTACAATAACATTTATTTATTCTTTCTTTATCACTAACTTTTCTTTCTTTCTTTCTTTCTTTCTTTCTACATTTTAATAGCATTTATTTATTCTTTTTTATCACTGTAGCTTTTCTTTCTTTCTTTTTCTTTCTTGCTTTCTTTCTTTCTTTCTTTCTACATTGCAATAACATTTATTTATTCTTTCTTTATCACTGTAGATTTTCTTTCTTTCTTTCTTTCTTTCTTTCTTTCTTTCTTTCTTTCTTTATTACAATAACATTTATTTATTCTTTCTTTATAACTGTAGCTCGTCCTGGGTAAGCCATTAAACTACACCCGCGTCCTTGGTAAGACGTTAAACTACATCCGCGTCCTTGGTAAGACGTTAAACTACATCCGCATCCTGGGTAAGACGTTAAACTACGTCCGCGTCCTTGTTAAGACGTTAAACTACATCCGCGTCCTTGGTAAAACATTAAACTACACCAGCGTCCTGGTAAGACGTTAAACTACATCCGCTTCCTAGGTAAGACGTTAAACTACGTCCGCGTCCTGGTTAAGACGTTAAACTACGTCCACGTCCTGGGTAAGCCATTAAACTACATCTGCGTCCTTGGTAAGACGTTAAACAACATACGCGTCCTGGGTAAGACGTTAAACTACATCCGCCTCCTGGTTAAGACGTTAAAACTACGTCCGCGTCCTTGTTAAGACGTTAAACTACGTCCAGCAACAAGGCCTATGATTAGGAGGCTTTGAGGAGCCTGGAACCACCTCTTAATTGCTGGTGTTCCCAGGTCCACCCTGACCCGGGGTGGTAGCACCTGTTAAAGTCCCAGCTATGGGCAAATATTTAACTATTACCGGCAATACTTTTTGGAAAAAAAATACAATTTTGAAAGAAATATATTACCAGAAGCAGATTTTTAACGAAACAAAATATTACAAGCAATAAATTTTTTGTCAGCATTAAATAACCCATTGAGGTTGATATGCCGTAAAAAAAATAAACCAAACCAATCTAAACCAAAGAATATATATTCTATTCATACGAATCTATCCTAAAAATGTTGTCGGCATTAAATAACCCATTGAGTTTGCAAAGCCGTTAAACAAAATAAACCAAACCAATCTAAACAAAAGAATACATATTCTATTCATATGAATCTATCTTAAAAATGTTGTCGGCATTAAGTAACCCATTGAGGTTGATATGCAGTAAAACAAAATAAACCAAACCAATCTAAACAAAAGAATACATATTCTATTCGTACGAATCTATCCTAAAAATGTTGTCGGCATTAAATAACCCATTGAGGTTGATATGCCGTAAAACAAAATAAACCAAACCAATCTAACAAAAGAATACATATTCTAATCGTACGAATCTATCCTAATAAATGTTGTCGGCCTTAAAGAACCCATTGTGGTTGATATGCCGTTAAACAAAATAAACCAAACTTATCTAAACAAAAGAATAAATATTCTAGTCATACGAATCTATCCTAAAAATGTTGTCGGCATTAAATAACCCATTGAAGTTGATATGCCGTTAAACAAAATAAATCAAACCATAACGGTAGCTTTTCGTTTTTCTTTCTATCTACATTGCAATAATATTTATTTCTTCTTTATAACTGCCACTTTTCTTTCTTTTTTTAATATTTACTTTTTTTCTTCAAATATTCTACTTTTTTTCTTCAAATATTCTACTTTCTTGCTTTCGATATGCACCTCAAGTTTTTTTTTTCTTTTTTTCTTTCTATCTTTCCTTCTTTATTCGACTATATATTCTTTGTGCTTTCTTTCTTTTTCTTTCGTGGTGTATCTCCCGTTTCTTTCTTTCTTTTTCTCTGATTATTCTCTCACACTAGTTTTAAATATTGTCCTTCATTCTTGAATCATCTTCTTTCATTCATTAAAGTAGATATCATGGAAATTAGCTTCCTTGCACAGAAACAAAAAATCCTTTGCCGAGGTTCGAACTCCCAACCAAAACGCAATAAGACTAGCTTGCTAGTAACTATTCATTAATAGAAGTCTTTTGAGAGAATAGTTCGCTGGGAAGTCAGATGTGAGAAATAGCTTAGAATTCTCTCACTCTAAATTGAAAAGTGAACTTCGAAGGACGTCATTATCGAGTTCAGTCCTGTAAAATGTACCACAATTGTAGCCTTCCGTCAAACTACTTTCAATTGCGACGGTATCTCGGCTGAAGATTTTCCTTCACGATGAAAGAGTATCTTTAAAAAAAAAAACAATAGGCATGCAAATTGGTGAAATTCGTCCATCTAATCAATATTATTTTTAAAATAAGCAGGACAATGGCAAAGATGTTTGACTACTGCAGACCTACTCACTCTTAGGAAGCGGAAAGAAAATCACAAATCTTGATCTCTGTTTGATGGAATTTCTAAGGAGTTCTGTGTATATATATATATATATATATATATATATATATACAATATTAATATAATATAAAAGGCTCAAATACTAATATTCCATGGTTGTAATTTATAACATTTGAATCGTAATCACGATCCAAATCATCAGACCTATTTGTTTATTTGTATTTATTCATGTCAGTTTTCGATTTTTAAGTAAAAAGGAAAATCATAGACAGAAATGAATAAATAAAATAAATGATAGAAAAACAATAATACGAATAAATAAACAAAATAATATAAAAAACAATAAAATAAATTAACCCAAACAAATAATAAACAAATTAACAAACCACTCCTGTTAGAATAGACGAAATAGAATAAATGAAAATAAAAATTAAAAATAAAATACATAAAAACAAATACAAACAATCAACATAATAAAAAAGTAAATAATAATAAAGAAATTAACAAGCCAATCCCAACAGAATAACAGTCAGAATAGACTACAAAAACCAATCCAAAAATTGGACGTAAAATTAGCTATAACTGCTATATATCGATAAAAATCATCACTACTTTACTCAAAAATCGAAAATCAAATACAGTAAATAAATAAATGAACAAATTAACAAATCGCCCCCGCTAAAATAACCGTTAGAACTAATAAAATTAAGCATAAATAAGCAAAAAGAATTAAAAATAATCAATCCAAATGAATAAAAACTGTCCACCCTCCAAAAATAAGAGAATAGACTGCAGCAAGCAATCTAAACATTGGACGAAAAAATAGCTTTGTCTTCCCACACCAAAACAAACGATTAAATAAGCGACCTAAGCAAATCCCTACCACCAATGTCTTTACTACGTTAATAAAACATCAAAAAACAAAAAGAATAAATAATACAAATTGAAAATGAAAAACATGTAAAATAAATTAACCCAAATAAATAATTGAACAAACAAGCCACTCCCGCAAAAATAACGACTAGAATAGATTACCCACAATGCATCACTGACCAATATATATATAAATAGCCGAGGAAATATCCAGCATTCGCGGCCTGACGACTGCGTCCAGCAGGATATATATATATATATATATATATATATATATATATATATATATATATATATAATACACTTAAGTAGAGAGTATGTCATTTTACCATTAGGAGACCCTTTCGGCCAAAACTTTATCAAAAGTAGAACGTTGGCGCGTAGAACAAAATATTCAATGACACATTTGTTAAATAGCGAATGACGAAAGAAAATTGGAACACGATTAAAAGAGATTTTAATTGTAAATAAACTGACGACTAAAAACAAAATAAAAGGTTTCCAAATAGAAACAAAATTACTCATATACCCTCGATCAAACGTAAGGAACGCCTGAAATGTTTCTTTTGCTTACAGAGTCTTGATGATAATATGCACAACCATTTATTTTGTTTTTAGTTCTTCTAAAGGTAAAATGACGTCCTATAAGTCTATTTTCTTCTTCTGCAGATATAGGTCTCTATATATAAAAAATAGCTACAGCCAGAACCTATCTAACACCGGATCAACAGTATTATTCTGACTAAAGAGGGTTGGCTCAAACGACATTTAATTGTTTACCTTGTATTGCTATATATATATATATATATATATATATATATATATATATATATATATATACTCGACTTTCTCCCATTGAATTCGACGTAAGAGTGTCAAACCGATCACTTCCTAGGAACCGAAAGCTCGACACCAGCCCATGAGATTTGATTATATTGATGAAGGTTTTGCATTATGTGGCACCAGGTCCCCAATCAACTTTCTGCAGGTTTTGAATTCAGAGTTGTGCTTCTCCTAGAACAGTTGCATCCAAGGCTATAGAACCCGATCTGTCTTCCTATTTACCCATAGAGGGTCCTGCTATTTAGCCATGGAGAGAGAAGAAAAAGGATTCATACCTTTTTCCACGGGTATTATCACGTAAGTGAATCTAACGGATTCGATTTGAATTCGAACTCGGCTCTCCGATTCCTCAATGCAAGCAGCTAACCATTATTCCACCATATATATATATATATATATATATATATATATATATATATATATATATATATTTATTTAAAATATGATTCCTTCGCTTCATAAGAGATCTCATGTTTCAAAAAACAAAAGCCAAAAACTTCAAAAACATTTGGCTCTTGTTTTTGAAACATGAAAACTCTTATGTAACGAACGAATCATATTTTTAAAAAATAATTATAATTTAGGCTCTACTTTTGTATCGAGCACTGTTTTTTTAAAAATAAAAAACAAAAATACTGAAGAACTTCGGATTATTTACCTAACGAGTTCCTTCCTATTTTTATATATATTTGCACACACACACACACACACACACACACACACACATATATATATATATATATATATATATATATATAGTGGGTGCTGTCACATTGCATTGGGTGCTATCGAGTATTTTGGTGTTATCTATTAATATTTGACTTATATTGATAGCTGTATTTTGGTAGTTTGAAATGTGCTGGTCGATATATGCACGAATTCCGCTGAGTTTCGACAGGAGATAGGACATTCTACGAGAGAACGTGATGCATGTGTGCCTGAAGTAAGAAATGAATTCCGTTTTTGATTATTAATGTTCTAGATGCTATCTTCCAGGTGTTAGGAGAATTCACAGACATTATTTTTACACAGGCAGTTTTTTGAGAATCTGTTTTGTCGTTAATAATTAGACCAGATATTTCAAAACTTTTTATAGAATCTCATAAATCTTATTTGTTATGATCAATGCACGATATATGATCTGGCGGCTCGGTTTCAGTCACTTGCCTACCGACATAATTCTGACTCTGTACCTTTCCTATAAATACTTTCATGGTAATTGTTCGTATCAGCTTTTCGCTATGATACTTATGGTAAGCGCAGTACGAGACTGGCGACGAGATCTCAGCTGAGCTGGCGAGATGTAGCCGTAAATTCTATGCTAACAGTTTCTTTTCTCTCACGTGGAACTCGCTTCCGTCTCCATGCTTGTCAGTGAACGTTTTATTTATAATAAAATCACGATGATACATTTTTATCGTAAAATAACCAACAACACATTTTATAATAGTGTTACCAACAATAAATTTTATATTAAAATCACGACGATACATATTTATCATAAAATAACCAACAATATTTTTTTTTGTAGCGTTACCAACAATAAATTTTATAATAAAATCATGACGATACATTTTTATCGTAAAATAAGCAACAACACATTTTTTATAGTAGTTTAATCAACGATACCTTTTTAGGCAAAATGACAATTAATACGTCTTATACTAAAACTGAAGATATAAACAGAATTTTTTAAAGATAAAAATTTAAATGCAATGCCAATCGCTATTTAATGTCATCCTGAATACTTTCTTTTCTCTTTCTGCTCATTACTAATATTTCTGTACCTAATTCCTCCACACCCTGTAAACCCTTGCGTGTATAATCTGGCAACCCTGTATCTGAGCTCAACGAAAATCGTTCCCTGTACCTAACTTTTCTAGAGCTTTTGAATGAGCTATGAATCATTGAAATCGGACCAGTGGGAGTTTAGGAGGATTTGCTTGGACACACACACACGCACAAACAGCCACACACATACACTGGGCTTTATATATAAGATTTCCTCTAAGCTTTTTAATAATATGAATTTGATATAACGGACTTGGTGAAATTATTATTTGTATTCTATATGCGATAGTGATGGATTCGCGTCTTGGACAGATTCTATCTAATGTCAGTAAAATTGGAAAAATGAAATAAAAATTAAGCAGACAAAATCTTGTCGGTTCTTTTGCCGTATGTAAATATACACACACGCACACATACATATATATATATATATATATATATATATATATATATATATATATATATATGATGGACTCTCCTGTCGTTTTAGGCTTATGATTGTCTTTCAGTTCAGCCGCCTGAGTATGAGAGGGTAGCTATATATATATATATATATATATATATATATATATATACAGATATAGATATATATATATATATATATATATATATATATATATAGAGAGAGAGAGATAATATATATATATATATATATATATATATATATATATATATATATATATATATATATAAAGTATGTGGTGCAGTTCAATTTACATTATATGAATCATTCATACAAAAAACTACATTAACCTGAACCTGTTGATGAATATTATGATACCTGTTTATAAATTCCAGTTGCAAAAGGTCTTTTTTCTATTTTTTTACAAGCTTTCATCTGTCCATACAGACATCATCAGGTATGGAAATACATTTGTTTTTTTACATCCCGGTAATAACAGGAGAACGAAAGAACAGATGTCATCCGAAATATGTTTTTAGAAATGTGTTATTGTTAATTGTAAGAAATTTTTGAAGCGTGCCGTCGCAACGCTGAGGTTGAATCTATTTCCATACATGATGTTGTCTGTTTTTACTGTTT